CGGAAGAAATTACGAAATATTCTGCATAAAAGTACAGAGGACAAGTAGAATTGACGTATAAAACTTATCCCACACTTCTTTGAAATTTTTACCCTGCATCGTGATGTCTTAACAACAAGCTGTCTCTGTGAAAGCTACAAAACTAGCGATCTCGGAAGACAAAATGTACGGTGGTTTGTTTTAATATTCCAATTTATTGTATAAAGGTTAATGTCACTCTCAACTCTACCTTCTCGCGGCGGTACGTCGAGTGCGTGGTGGTAGTCTACGCTGATTTTATTCTAGCCGGTCATTGTTTAAACTTTATGTGATGATGTTCTTGTTACTGTTGAACATTCCTTCTTATCTCTGTGTAAATGGTATTATCATGCTCTTATGTAGGACCATCTTTGTGCAAAACCATCGTTTCTGGCTTTCGAATAAAAGAAGTGTCTTTGTTAGAAAAGCTTAGGCTTCCGCCCCTGACTTAAAGATTAGTCGAAAACATTCTTTTTATCGCCATAGGTGTTTTGGCTACCTTCCTCAAGACCGACTGATACAGTTTACTCACATGTTTCATATAGAAACATAGAACATAGTACGTAGACTGTGTAGAGGTGCATGACTGCTCGTGCCCTTCCCTGTTTGATTTCAACTTTCCGCTGGTGACGGGCTCGGCGCGCATCACTTTTGCTATCAGGAATGCAAAACCCGATTTGCGTACTAAACATCACTCACTTTGATCTCAAATTCGTTATTTTAGTACCATTTTGCTGAGTCCGCAATAATTTAGCTCATGCACGAGAAGAGATACTACTTCAGTTAGAGGGAGCGTATGGTTTAATTTGCGATTATTTTTTCAGATATAATAAGTACAAACTATGGACGAAAAGGTTGCGCTACTTAAGGATGCTGCCACCAGACTGCGCATTAACAGCATCAAATCAACAAATGCATCCAACTCTGGCCACCCCACGTCATGTGCCTCAGCAGCAGAAATAATGGCTGTCCTGTTTTTGGACGAAATGCGCTATTTCCCCACCGTCCCGCGCCATCCTTCCAACGATCGTTTCGTTTTATCTAAAGGTCATGCCGCACCCATCCTTTATGCTGCTTGGGTTGAGGCTGGTCTACTCAAGGAATCTGACCTGCTTAATCTGAGGAAAATTGACTCTGATCTTGAGGGTCACCCAACCCCGGTACGACTGGCCATTATAATGCTTTTACTGTTTACCATCTCTTATGTATGTTCTTGATTTTAGTTTAATCTACCCACTTTCTAAATCTTGAGCCAGTTCTCTCATTGCTTATCTTTTTTGTTCAGCGCCTCAGTTTCGTTGATGTCGCTACGGGCTCTCTTGGTCAGGGACTCAGTAACGCGGTTGGTATGGCCTACGTTGGAAAGTACATCGACAAGGCCTCCTACCGAGTTTACTGTATGATTGGCGATGGGGAGTCTGCGGAGGGCAGTATCTGGGAGGCCTTGTCCCTGGGATCGTACTACAAATTGGACAACTTGGTTTCAATTTTCGACATTAACCGCCTAGGACAGAGCCAACCAACTTGTCTGGAGCACGATATGGAGACATACAGAAAACGCGTCGAGGCCTTTGGGTAAGCTCATGCAATCGCTACGCAGCTTTTGGAATTTCTTTCAACAGAGAGATCTCTGAACACACCGGGTTGGGGTTAAAACTTATGTATTTTGTTTACTGACTCTTGGTGACCTTATACCGCATGCTCTACAGATGGCATCCTATCGTCGTTGATGGACATGACGTGAGCGCCCTTTTGAAGGCCTTCGCTGATGCACGTGCCGTCAAGGGTAAACCTGTGGCCCTGCTGGCCAGAACTTTCAAAGGCAATGACTTTCCCGGCATTTCCGACAAGGAGAACTGGCATGGCAAGCCCTTAGGCAGCAGTTCTGCCGAGGTTTTGGCGTACCTAGAGAAGAAACTAATGTCCCCATCTACTCTGCACAAGTTGAAACCAAAGGAGCCTACTACTGATTGCCAAGAAACACACTTGATTGGTTCTACCAAACTACCCACTCCACCACCATACAAGAAGGGTGATAAGGTAAATTTCTACATAATTTCTTGTACAACTAAAGTTTGGTTGTTCTCCTTTCTTTTTACAATGCCGCATTTCAACGTAAATTTTAGTTTGAAGTCCTGTCAATAATTTATCACACAATTCGGTTCACAGCCTACATTCCGCGCAAAATATAAGATTTTGACCTCTCTATACTATACGGCTCCCATATTGCATGTATTCTTTTTTGGACACAATTGTGTCATTGTGTTAGATCGACACCATTTCATAAGCACCACTGAGTCCTGAGACGTGCCCTTTCTCTGGCGGAATAATCGGACAAAGTGCTGTCTATGCACCGTAGTAGGCTCAACATACTCTTTGTGGTTTTAAATCGGCCTCTTTTGGTGGATGAAACTGGATTTTATTTCTATGTAGGTTGCTACCCGCGAAGCTTACGGTCGTGCTCTGCAGCGTCTGGGTGAGGCCAATCCTCGTGTCATCGGCCTGGACGGCGACACCAAGAACTCCACTTTCAGCATCTACTTGCGCAATGCTCGCCCTGACCAGTTCATCGAGTGTTTCATTGCGGAGCAGAACTTGGTCGGTGTAGCTATGGGCTGCGCCGTTCGTGAACGAACTATACCGTTTGTGAGCACTTTTGCCGCCTTCCTTACCCGTGCCTTTGACCAAATTCGCATGGGTGCAATCTCCCAGACCGATTGCAATTTCTGCGGCTCGCACGCTGGAGTCAGCATCGGTAAGTTTACATTTGACGAGGTTTTGTTTGTTAAATGTGCGATTTCCACTGAGGTATGCAAAAACACGTTGTTGCTTTTAAAGAAACCCACTCCCGAGCCTCTTAGTAAAG